GAAAGGGCCAGCTCTCTTACCTGTGTTCCTTTTGCCTCATGCTCCAACCCACTTCTCCCTCCTCTATCCTCTACGGTAGCTGCAGGAGATTTTACTGGTTGGATGGCAGTGCCTGGGATTTTTGGTTCTGGGCTACTGGCGAGCCTTTGGCCTCTGGTGGCAACTGTGTGTTCATGTATACCCAAGGTAAGGTGGGAGTGGGGATGAAATCTGAAAAGGCCTGGGGAGGTGGGATGGGCTCCTAGAGGAGTTTCGAGGAAGAGCTGGACCCTTCAAGGGAGACGCCTCCTGAATCTACAGACTTCATCTCCACTGGAGTGTGGGGTGGGGTGGGGAGTGAAATCTCTTGGGGCTGAGTCAGGGGAAACAAGAGGCTGAAGGCCCCTTCTGGTTCTGCCTTCACAGGTCACTGGAGACTATCTCATTGCATCACGGCCCTCCATTTTGTCTGTTCCTTCTGAGTGGGATCCAGTCAAGACTTCAGAGCTGCTCCCTCCTAAGACACTGCCTCCTTTCCCCTGCCTGCCTCCGCTCCCTTCACCCTCAGCAGTAAAACTGCTTTGCTGAAATTGATTTATTTTTCCTCTGATCATTGATCCACTCGGTTTAGCCCCACTCAAGAACTTTCTGCCCTACAGTGACTCCCTACTCCACTGTCTGTCATGCAAAGGACCAGAAGTTATCACTCTCACGGAGCATGAAACATGGGATGGGGTCGGTGGGGCTGTCCTGGAGACAGAGGAATGGACTCAGCTAGCTCTTTTCATACAACACTGAATTACCGGGCGCCTATGTACAGGTTCTGCCAGGACCCCATCCATCCCTCTTGAATCTTTCACGGTGGACCCTCAATGTCCTGGCCTCTCTCTCCTACAGACTGTGGTTACCTTAATGTGCTAAGAAATTAACATGTCCCAGGTACAGCCGACAACTCTCAGGAGTGGGTATCTGAGCACCCCAGTCCCTCGGGTGGAATAATTCTAAGGCATGACCCGGGTACACTTACCCAGGGGAATGAACTTCCAGTTACCCACTGAGGTAGCTGTCTTTACAACAGACATTTTATTGTGAATTCTTCTCTTCCCTACAAGTGCCCCAGCACCTCTCAAATAAATTTGCACACAAATTCTTGACTTAGGATCTGCTCCTTGGGAAACCCAATATCAGACAACCTGCTATATGTTCAACCCTATATAAGGCCTGGGAATATGTTAGGACACAGCCCCTTACTGTTGGGGAACATACATTTGTTTATAATATAAGTACAGCAATAGCTACAAATTGTTACCACATTGTACACCTACAAATGACCCCCTACTGTGGCAGGCATCTTACATAGATGACCTTGTGTGATCAATAATTATTATCCCATTTTACAGAGCCAGGCTCAGAGAAGGGATGACCTGTTAAAAGATTTTCCCAAGGCTGAATACCCAGATGCGAGCAAGGCTGTGATTTTACTATCTGCTCCAGAGCATGTTGCTTTAACCATTATGACTCTCTGGCTGGAGGCGTTGGCTGCTCTCCCCTCCAGGACACGATCTTGTGGGGTGGAGCACAGTGCATGGGGGGTGGGCTGCGGCAGGACGGACTCCCTTAACCTTGGGTTCATCTTGGGGCATAGGACTCCAACCCAGCTGGGGTGAGGGTGTCCCAATCAGAGATGAGGAAGGAAGGCATTCTGAATCCTCTCTCCACTAGGGAGGTAAGCAGAAAGTAAGGGGTCAGTGTCCTGAAGCCCCTTTCCTCCAGGACCCCTCAAATCCAGAGAATAACAGATGGGATCAAGGTCATAGAGAGAGGCCAATCAAGACCTTTAATATTTTGACTACGGCCCAGACAGGAGAAGCTACTTGCTCAAGTTTGCACAGTAAATTGAGAAAGAGATAGAAATCAAACAGGTTCATTGTAATATTGTAATTGTACCATTATAGTCTGTTGATTTCAAAGATACTGGAACTCTGAAACACTGTTATGAATTCAGCCCTGTGCTGGGTACTGTGGAGGATGCAGCTGAAGTAGAATTTTCACTCATTGCCCTCATGGACTTTATATTCTGGTGTGGGAAGGCATGATTTCCCTCTATTCCTGTATTAATAAAAAGAGTAACAAAATCTCCCGTTTATTAAGCATTTACTAGGTGCCAGGCTCTGTGCTAAGTGGTAGGTGGATTTTGTGTTGTCCCTCACAAATCTCTTCTGTTGGGGGCATGTGTTGTGACAGAAGCGTGACTTCCAGTCCATGGAGATCCCCTTCGGGGGATTAATGTCAAGGAGGGGAATGAAGGAGACGTCTGGGTTCCCGGGAACGTTCTGTATCTTGTGGGCACAGTTATGGGAGAGCATTCACTCTGTAAAACTTCCCTGAGCAGTGTGCCATACTTGACAAAATGCATGTTATGCATCCACAAAAAATGTTGTAAAACATGAAAATAATGACATAAGGGCACTGGCTTTACATTTCAAAATACAGGTTTCTGTGTGTATTTTTCCTGACCAACAAGATATTAGCTAAGCTCTGTGAAAGGAAGATGGTGTGCTTACAATGGAACCTGTGGAGCTCCTCACATCATGCAAAGTGCAGAGCTCAAGTAACACTCAGGGCTTGTGTGTTGATCAGGGTCACAGTTGTAGCCCTGGTTTCCTGACAAGGGCCACTCCCAACACCATCCTACAGGGACAGTTCTGAGAGCTGTACTGAAGCTGATCTCATTAGAGGTAGGTTCTGGCATTAGCCTCAGTTTACGGATGAGAAAACTGAGACACAGAGGGCTGACTCTGGGACTTGTGATTTCATTATACATCACACAACACTGCCTCTCAAGATGGCAAAACACACCCTCTACATAATGTGGAGGTGGAAAGACTCTGGGGAGGCAGAGTGTGAAAACCCTATGAGCATAAATGCAAACAGTAAGCCAGAGACTTGGAAGGTGACGGATGTTGAAAATGTTGGCACCATTGGCTAGAGTGTCTGGAGGTAACACATTTGGGTGTGTCCAAAAACGCGAGGACTTGGGAGTCAGACAGAGTACGGACAGAATGCTACTTCTTATGAGTTGTGTGAGCTAATGGATGGACATCACTGTGGTCACTGAGGAAGTCATTGGAATGTCTTTGCCCAGGGTCCGTGTGCAAAGAAAACTGGGTTAATGCAGAGGAGGGGCCGGCTGTGGAGAACGGAGGTGAGTGAGAGAAGGCAGAGGGAAGGTAGTCATGAGTCCAAAAGGAGCCTGTCTCTGGTTTAGAACTGTCTCTCACTTGCTGTGTGATCTTGGGCACCTTGTTTAAGTGCTCTGAGATGTCATTTCCTCATCTGTAAAACAGGGATGTTGAAATGAAGCAACACATGCAAAGCTTGTAATGCTGGTTCAAGAGAGTGGTTGACCCTACTGGTCAACCCAACCACTCTGTGAAATGATGCCCCTGTCCTCGGCCCCAGGACGGGGGAGAACAATGAGGAGGAGGTTTTGTCCTCTACCCCCTCCTCCACTAAGAGGTCTGAAGTTTGAAACCCCGAGACCAGGGTTTGGGGGCCCTGGAATTGGCCAATCCCCCTAGTCAGCTAGATAAACTGAGGATCTGGTCCGATGGGCTGTCGAGATAGCAGCAAGGACGGTTACTCTGCAATCAGGCCCAGAAGTAACCTCTCTGATACTTCTCCATTTGTAGGTGCCTTGAGCGAACAGAGGAGAAGGAATCCAGGCCTTTTCACACTTTGGGTAACCTGTTCTTGGTGCCCTGAGAACTTGGGGGCTGAGCTGGATCTGAGGAAAACCAGGAGGTCACAGAGTTGAGTCCTCCACCCCGACAAGTCCACTAGCTCTTGGCAGTGATATCCAGCAAAGTCACTGCTTAGCACTTGCTAGTCTCTCCTTGGACTGCACTGAATTTGGCTGGAGCTTTGTTGATGGAAGTTTTGATATTTTTGCATTTATTTTGACTTTTAAGAAAGATTTCAGTGAAATTTTGTTTGCCTTGCCTTCTGCATCCTTAAATCTTGCTTCACTCACTTGTCCCTAGTCCTGACCTTGTGATAATAGATGTCTGGTGGGAGGAGGGCGGTGGGGTGGGGAGGGTGGTCCACCCATGTCTGAATGACTCTGCCTGAGGCTTTCCATTCGAGCTGTTGCCTCCTTGCTGGAAAGATATGACCTGAAGTTGGACAAAATGGCATATTCTAGATCAGTGGTCTTCAACTGGGGTCATTTTGCTCCCCAGAGGAGATTTAGAAATATGCAGAGACCCTTTTGGTAGTGATGACTTGGAGAGGTGTTATTGGGCTCTGGTAGGTAGACAGTGGTCTATGTTACTAAATGCTGCTAAACTTCTTACAATGCACAGGGCAGGCCCTCACAACAGAGAATGGACTCCAAATAGAGTGCAAAGGTTGTGCATCTTGATCTAGATCCTCCGTACAGAAGAAAGAGCATACGTCTTTCACACATTCAAGGTGAGAAAGGGAGGAAGAGGGAGAATAAGAGTGAGGAAAGGAGGGAGGGAGGGGGAGAGAGGGAGACAGAGATTTCAGCGCCAAAAAAGACTTCGAAATCCGGGTTCACCCGCTTGGAGTGAAATCTTAGCCAGTCAGTTTCCCTCTTTGAATCTCACTTTCCATGTCTGTGAAATAGGGATAATCATATGTCCTCATGGGATAGAGATGAAAGTGAAGATTCAGGGATGTGATGCATATAAAGTGCTTGTTGTAGATAAGGGCCAAGGGGGGCTGAGGCTCCCTTCACCTCCTACCTACTCCTCTCATTTTCTCCTGGATCCCTGGATTCTCCACTCTGTTTGTTGGGATATTGACCAAAGGGAAGCTGATCCTTGGATTAAGGACTATTGTTCAGATGGGGCCCTTTAGGGACAGTAATAACAACTTTGCCTCAACAATAGATATCTGGGGTCTTCTCGAGCACACCAGGGTGGATGGCAGTAGACCCCAGGAGGCAGGTCCCTGCAGTCATAGTAGAGAGCAGGGCTCAGGGGGGAGAGGATTGAGCAAACTCCTGATCAGCTCCAATGCCCCGCACCCCTCCCTGCGTCTCTTCCCACTTCCCCAAAAGCCCAGTATAAGGGTTGCCTCTGGGGCCCAGCAGCCAGAGACACTGACACCAGAGCCTCAGACTCTCAGGAGGTGAGTGCTTCCCTGGCTGCCCATGGAGGACGGGTCCGGGGCTTGGGAGGAAGCGGAACCCTATCTGGCAAACACCTCAGAGGTCTGTCCTTAGGACCCTAATGGCTACACTTCTTCCCTCTTTTTCTCCACTGTGAGTGAAATTTGCCCTGTTCCTGAGCAGACCTGTTCCTCCAGGGTCTGGGCTAAGTGTTTTTCCGTTGAGCAGTGATGGAGTTCTCAGGAAAAAGGGGATTTTTCACGTTGAGTTGACACCCCCAAGTCCTCTCCCTGATTCTCCAGCACAGAGTCTGTTCATTGGACAAGTTGGAATCTCTCTAGTTTGCCCTTTAATAAACCAGTTAAACAAACTCTTCTTCTTTGCCGTGTGACAGGGGCTGTGCAGACACACTGGACATCTCAGGGAGGAAAAGTGGAGCTGTGTCCCTGTCACAAGACTGAGTAGATATGAAACGCCCTCTGCTCCTGCCCCTTCTCCTGCTGGGGACAGTTGCTGCTCTTCATCTGGGTAAGTCCTCCCCTTCTCGTCTCATCTATATTTCTCTTTTCTCCTCTTTTCTGCACTGTTTTTGCACTCATGGGGCCGAGGCCACAGCCTCCCCTCTTCAGTTGACCCAGCTCATCTCTGTTAAGATTTCTCCTGGACTCACAACTGTGACCTGAACTTTCTGTCAGGGCTCCTTCACAGAGAAAACCATCCACTTGTGTAGGCGAAGGGCTTCTCACAGGTGCATTCTCCCACCCCAAAATACACACCTGTGGTGTCAGCCAGAAGTCAGGTTCTCATCCATTTGTGCATGTGACCCGAGTTCTTGCCTCACCCAACACCTCAGCGATCCTTCTAGTCTTGGTGCCAGGTGGCGTCCATAGGAAGGGTTGAGTGGGATCAGAGCTGTCCATGGCACTGGAAGAGGGGAGAACTTATCTGATGGCAAGTTGCCTCTTCTTCCCAGAGAGTGATGACCCCCATTTGGACATCCGAGAGACACAGACCGACCTGATCCAGGATGTGGAAGGTTCAGGGGCACAAGAGGGGGAGTTGTCTCTGACAGAGGAGGTGATTCAGTCAGAAGGAGAGGAGGCTGAGGCTTCCACCAATCAAGACACCTTTGAGGATGAGCAGGCCATGGAGTTGCACCCAGCTGCCCTAGGTGAAGACTTGCAGTGCCCCAGGGAAGAGGATACAGTTCAATTGTCTGGCTCTCCTGGGTGCAAGACCCGCCACTACCGCTTGGTGCAAACTCCTACGACGTTTTGGGCTGCTGAGGTGAGTGGCATCAAAGCTACTGTGGAGGATTTGGTGGAGAAGAAGAGAGTGGATTCAAACCCCTGTTCCATACACATTTAGACTAGTGGTTATCAAAGCCTAATGTTCACCAGAATCTCCTAGCGATATTAAATCTGTTAAAAAACAGATTTTTGGACCCCTTACCCCCAAATTTCTGATTTAGCAAGTCTCTGACGGTGCCCAAGAGTCTGCATTTATACCACATTCCCAGGTGACGATGATATTGTTGCCTGGAGACTGCACTTTGAGAACCACTGATTTGGACAAAGTCTTTGGTATTAGATAGACCTGTGTTCAATCCTGGCTCTGCCTGTCAATGGTTGTGTTACCTGGGAAAGTCACTTCACCTTTCAGAGCTTCAGTATCTTCATTTGTAAAGTGGAGACATATCGTTCCAAGCTCTTAGACTTCTGGTGAAGTTTCAATGAGATAATACATGGAAAGTATTTAGAATAGTCCCTGGGTCATTGTAAACTCTCAATAAATGGGGGCTATAATGATTCTGAGTATTATTATTATTTCCTGCAAGAAGTTCCTGACAGCAGTAAAAGGAGCAAGCGATGAGATTGAAGGGGGCAAGTAGGTCCCCGCTTTATGAACTGAAAAGGGATGTAGGGCTGTCTGCTGGAGACTCATGGACTTGAACAAAAGGAGAGTGAATTCTTTACACCACCTCTTCTTCTCTGCAGAATGTCTGCAGGAGTCGCTACCGAGGCCATCTTGTCTCTATACACAGCTCCAGCTTAAACCGTCGCCTCCAGCACATGATCAAGGATATCCACCAAGGCCAGGCCTGGATTGGATGCTACTTGTTGCCCATGGTAAGTGAGGGGCCAAGTCCCAGGTACAGGAAGTTCTTTCTGATCACCTCGAGGGTACACCTGCTGGCCTCCAGTCTTATCCCAGCAGCTGAGGTGACCTTAGGCAGGTGGTGATGAGGTGGAGCTGGCTTGTACTGGCTCAGGAGAACCAGTGATTAGGCACATCTCTTCCCAACTCCATGTTCAATGACTTCATGCTTGTAGCTTGAAATCTCCCATGGTGGATGAATTTACACCAAGGAAATTGGCAACCGCTACAAGTCCCTCTGCCTTCTCACCTTCCCCCAGAGATGGTTGTTAAACACTTACCAGCACACCACTGGCGTCATGAGATAGGTTCACATCTTGGGAACCTTGGCCCATCTTGGTCACTCACTAGCTGAATGGCTTCCTTGAGCCTCAGTTGTCTCATGTCTCAAATGGAGTCCTTGTTCTGTTAGAGTGGCTCTGGGATTGTGGATGAATAAGTGCCATGACATTTGCTACTCAAGGGTGGTCCATGAAGCAGTAGTATAAGCATCCCTTGGTAGCTTGCTTGAAATGCACAATCTTGGGCTGCACCCCACACCTCCTGAATCAGAATCTGTGTTTCAACAAGATCCCCAGGAGATTTGTATATACAATGAAGTTTGAGAAGCCTACTCTGTGTGATGATGCCATTGCCTACACTCAGGGATGGATCTCTAGGATATCTGGCTTCTAGCCGGGTGAACAGTGAGAAGAGATTATACATATAGTGAGTGTCCAGAAAGGGATGCTTGGTGCTCAGTGGGCATTCTCTGGAGACCATGATTATCTATGTATTCCTGGACATCAGCCCTCTTATGCAGCCTATCCCTTCTCTAGCCCCTGAAACCGACATGTTCCTGGACTGATGGGAGCCGCTGTGATTATAAAAACTGGGCCCTGCAGAAGCTTGGAATTATCGGAGTTGGCTGTGTTGCTCTAAGCAGCAGAGGTGAGGGGGACTGGGAAAGGGGAACTGGTCAATGTGGACTCTTACATACTATCCTTTTGAGCTGTCTCAACACTCCTCCCCAAACTCACACCCTCCACCCAACCGGACAGCCAACGTCCTCTCTTTGAGAAGGGCTGAGATGTAGGGAAGGATTCCTCAAAGCAAAACCAGGTGATGGGGTACCCCGTGTGGGGGCTAGATGCGGGCTTTCCATCTTTTGGCCTGGAGTGAGGGGGGGGGGCGTCCTTTCCCTCTTCTGATATGAGGGCGACAGATGAGAATAGCAGATATGAATTTAAGTGTGGATGAGAGATGAAGGAAAGATGTGGGAATTATGGATGGCTGACAGACACTTCTCCAGCTTCCAACAGCATGGATGAGGGATGTGAGGGAGCTTAGTACAATGGCTAAGACCATAGGCGCTGGAGTAAGACTGCTCTGGTTCACATCCCGGCTCTGCCTCTGGCCAGCTGAGACACAGGCAAGTCATTATCCCCGCTAAGCCTCAGTTTCCTCATCTGGGAAATGGGGATGAGCTAGCACCCATCTCTTGGAGTCATTGTGAAGATGAAAGCACTTAATCACCCTGCCTCCCTCACTGTGGGAGCTCTAGAAATGTTAGCTGGTAGGGATGTGTAGGCAACATATGGCTGACTGATCACAGCCACAGCAGGCGAGGGAGGGTATGAGGTGCCTGAGGAGAAACGGAGGGGGGCACAAGCCACACTCAGATGGGCAGCTGACCTCACTGTGCTCTCTACTCCCAGATGGTCACTGGCGAGGAGCTCCTTGCGAAACGCGTATGCCCTTCATCTGCTCCTTCTAAGCCGCTGACTCGGAGACCCTGCCTTGAAGCCTCCTCCCTTCACAGTTTCCCGTCTGCCCCCTGGACACTGGGCTCGTCCCCTTGTCCCTCCTGGAAATAAAACCACACTTCCCACAGCATTTCCTGACTCGTTCCTTCACTGCTCACTTTGGAGCATTCCCTGGGGTTGGAAACGCCTGGAAGCCATCACTCCCGCAGGGTGGGGCTTTGAGGAAAGTAAAAGGTGGTGGAGTAGGGCTCCTGGTAGAGGTGGGTGGGGTTGGTGAGGTGTTGGGCTGCAGCGCCACCTGGGGGCGGAGCATGGACTCCGGAGGACCCTTCTCAGCCCTGGCTTGGGGATTCCATTCGCTGGGGGGTGGGGAACTGGCCCTCCTGTTTCGTTTGGGTTCAGTATGCAGGGTGGGTTTGGGTGGGAGTGGGCTCTGGGGTAGATCCCATTCGCTGGGGGGTGGGGAACTGGCCCTCCTGTTTCTTTTGGGTTCAGTATGCAGGGTGGGTTTGGGTGGGAGTGGGGTGGCTGTCAAAAACAGAGCTGATCTTGCTGATTCAAGGATTGGGGTGGAGCAGTGAGATGCCATCTGGATAAGCATGTGGGAGGGAGGAGAAAGTAGTCTTGTCTACTTGTCTTGCAGGAAGCCTGTTCCTCTATTCCTCTGTCTTGTTGACCTCAGATACTGGCCCCTGTTTTCCATTCTTCCAGCCACTGTGGGTGAATTGAAAGGCCCCAACTTCTTCTGAGATCTGTTGCCCACTCCATTCCCAGGAGGGTGCCTGTCCTTCCCTCTCCCCCATCTGTAGCCTGCCTCCCTAAGGGGCCACATTCTCAAGATGGAGGTGCCTCCCAGCAGGAGGGTCTTTGGGCCAGTCAGGGTATCTGGTAGCCTGTGGCTCCCATGCTGTGTCTACAACCCCAGGCCTCAGCTTCTCTCCCTCACCCCGTGTTCTCCGACCCAGGGGACATAGAGAGAGAGCACTGTTGCTGATCTTCACCTTGTTCGAGGCAGGATGCTTGGCTCCTGGTAGGACCTGGAGTTGATGAAGCAGAAGTTCAGACCTGAGACTGGATATTAAGAGGGCAGACAGCCTTGGGCTGTGGGGAGAGAATGAGGGGGGCACTCTGAGACAGAAATACTTCCTTGGCTGTCATTCTACATGGAGCACAAAGAGAAGGTACAAATATTTCTGGAGATGCACGTGCACACGCATGTGTATATATTTGGGTGTGTAAGCGAGTCACTCTTTGTATATCTGTGTGTATCTGTGTATGTGTGAATCTGTATATGTAAATGTGCGTAAATCTTTGAGTCAGTGTGTATTTGTGTGTTGTTTGAGGTTGTACCATTTGTACATCTCTCTGTATTAATGGATAGGCCTGTGTGTCTGTGGACACCTATGAAGCCCTGCACCGTAAGATGCCTGAATCTGTGTGTGCACACATGTGTGTACTTGTGTGTCTTTAGCCAGTATGTTTTGGGGTGTGCAAACATGTTAGTGTGTGTCTGAGCACACCTATGTACAGGTGTACATTTGTGTGTGAACATGAGTGTGTACCTGTCCAGGCATCTGATGGGATGTGGAGTTTCAGGAACAAAAAGAACAGTCTCCCAGATGTGCTTTTTTTCTAAAGGTGTTGGAGGTGGTGGAACAGGACAGGGTCGGAGAACCCCAGGGGAGGTGGGTGGCGAAGAAGCAGCAGGGCTGAGTTCCCTGAATATGAGCAGTCCTCTGACAACGGGACTACGGGTCTTGGGCTTGCCATGGATCTCACCAATGCTGGACCTCAGGGACGGCTTCTTGTGAAGAGGCCTGTCCTCCACAGAAGGGTACGTCCATCCGCCTAGTCCAGGGGATGAATCCTGATTAATCTAAGCCAACTGAGGCAGTCGCTTTCCTCCTTGCTAATGAGAGTAGAGGTGGGCATGTTCTCCTGTCCTTGTTAGTGAGGTGAAGGGGTTGTATTCATGAGGACTTTAAGGGTATTTCTCTCCTTGTTGGAAGATGAGAGCAGAGCAAAAAGAAAGCCTTCCTCCTTGGTCCCGCTTTCCACCCTTCCTCTTTGAATGTTGTGGCAACTGTTTGAATGTTTGAATATAGGTGGAGCTGTGACATCCATTCTGTGATTACGAGGCAACAAGCTGGAGGACAAAAGCTAGCAAACTAAGGATGAATGAGTGAAAGGAATAAAAGAATATGAGTCCTTGACACCCCAAGCTGACCGACTTGGGAATTCCCTCTGGGCTTTGTGTTAGGCCAGAGGCAGCTGGCACAGCCTGTGGGCCAGGGGCAAGAGAAGAGGATCTCTGGGAGTCACTATCCAGATATGAAACTAGCTTAGTACTGTGAGCACCTGGGCTTGGAGGGTCGCCCACAGGCTGAGCCTTGGGGCACATACTCAAGCCTTTCTACCACTCGTACAAGAACCACTTTCCAGGTTCTTCCTCCTTCCCCTGGATGTGCTTCCCTTTCTCTCTTCCCTCTTTGGAGTTGGAAGGAGAGAGAGCGCGCCAGAGCAGGAGCTGGAGATCTCCGTTTACTCTGACCTTGCTGCTGCTTACTCTGACCTTGAGCAATTCCTTGTGCCTCTCTGGACCTCAGTTTCACCCTCTGTAAAGTGAGGAGGTTGGGCTAGATCAATAGTTTTCAAACTGGGTGTCGAGGAACACCGAGGGGTTCCCTTTGGTGTTATGTTGATTACGAAGGAGAATAAGGGGCAGGATGACCGGGCCACTCCCCACTGATGTGTTTCATAAGTTGAATTTCTGTTTAAATTTTGGTTTGAACAAAAGGACTTTGCTGCCATTAAAAAAAAAAAAGCACCAGGCTGCAAGATGTCTGAGAAACTTCACTAGGAGGCTCTATAAGGCTGTGGGGATGGATAATACGCTGCCTCCTCTGCTGCTGGTTGGGCCCTGGGGTGACAGGGAGGCTATGTGTGTACGAGGTTTAATTAATTAGCTTCCAGGGTGGAAGGCAACAATCTGTACCAAGACTCATTCTTAGAAACTGGGGTTCCAGCTCCTGCTTCTTATCTGGACTTTTCTTTGGTGTGGTAAAATATATAGAATAAAATTTACCATCTTAAACATTTTTAAGTGTATGGCTCAGTGGCATTAAGTTCATCATATTGTTAGGCAAGCAACACCACCATCCATCTCCAGATTGAACTCTTTTCAATCTCGTGTAACTGAAACTCTGTCCTCATTAAACACTAACTCACCAGTATCCCACCCCACCCAGCTCCTGGCAACCACCCTTCTACTTTCTGTCTCTGTGAATTTGGCTACTCTAGGGACCTCATCCAAATGGAATCACGTAACAGTTATCCTTCTATAACTGGCTTACTTCACTTAGCATGATGTCCTCAAGGTACATCCATGTTATTGCATGTGTCAGAATTTCCTTACCTTTTTTTTTTTGGTGAGGAAGAGTGTCCCTGAGCTAACATCTGTGCCAATCTTCCTCTATTTTGTATGTGGGACGCCACAGCAACATGGCTTGATGAGCACTGTGCACGTCCACGCCCGTGATCTGAACCCACGAACCCCAGGCTGCCATAGCAGAGCATGTGAACTTAAGCACCATGCCACTGGGCTGGCCCCTACACTGACTTTTTTCCCTCCATTATCTGCAGCTCCTTTATGAACAGGGCATCAGCCTCAGGGCCTCCTTCCTCTTCTTCTCAGTCTTCAGTGTCTGGCATGTTGGGCGCACTTTCCTCCTTCTGCCCCGGGGGCACATCCCCTACGCGCTGCCCACCAGCTACTGCTATGGGTAAGGACTATGATCTAGCGATTGTGAGCCAGAGCCCCCATGTGACCTGGGACGGAAGCAGGGGATGGGAAAGTTATGGTCACAGTAGGGCAGAGGAAACCTGTCACAGGAGAGGAAGACCAGAATGGGTGTGTCAGTTGGCAATTGCTGCATAACAGACTACCCCAGAACTCAGTGTCCTGAAACCTTAAGCATTTATTATTTTTCCTGGGTCTGTGGGTAGCTGACGAATTCTACTGATCAGGGACAGACTCGGATGATCTTGACAGGGCTCATTCTTGCCTCTGATCATCTAGTGGGCTAGCTCGGGGCTGGCTTGTCTAGGATGACCTCATTCACGCGAGTTTTCTCTGGAGGTCACTGGGGGTAACAGGGATGTCTGGGACACCTGGCTCTCATCTTCTGGCAGGCTGGCTTGGGCTTGTCCATGTGGTGGTTCCAGGGTTCCAATAGAGAGAGTGCAGAAATGCACAAGCTTTCTTAAAGTTCAGGGCTTTAATCGGCAAAGCATGATTTCTGCTGCATTCTCTTGGCTGAGGCAGCTGACAAGACCCGCTGCAGATTCAGGGGATGGGGAAATAGTCAGAGCTGCAAAATTCCATCGCAAAGAGTGGAGAACAGAGGAAGTGAAGAAATGTGACCCTTTTTGCAGCTCTTCCCCACAAGCAGTAGAGGGAGAGCTTTCATTTGCTGCTGACTTACTATCTGCCAGATCCCAAGTGCTCTCTGATTTCATCTCACCATGATCCTCTCAGATAGATCGCCTTAGCTCCATTTTCCAAATGGGAACAATGGGGGTTGGAAGGGTTATATATGAGTCGTGTTGCCACAGCCAGAAAGAACAAGAGCTGGGATGTGAACTCAGCCTCTCCTCCTCTGCCCACGCCTCCGGTGGTTCCCAAACTTTGCTGGGTATCAGAATCACAGAATCACTCGGAGATCTTCAAAAAATCTGGAAGCCTGGCTGCCACTCCCAGACACTCTGATTTAAATGGTCTGGCTGTGACTTGGGCTTCGGGGTTGTAAAGAGGTGATTTCACTGTGCTGTGAAACGGGGGATCGCCTGCACTGTTCCCTCCAGCCTGAGACTCAGGCTCAGCTCACAGCCCTTGGGCTGGGCTGAGGGGGCTTCTGTTTCCACAGCCTGTGCTCTGGGAAGGACAGCAGGGAGGAGGAGCAGAAGACAGTGGAGTCCAAAGAGCTGGAGGGACAGTCGGAGTTCGTTTCACCAAAGGAAGGTGAGCCCTGCTGGTGAACCCAGTACCCCTTCAGAACCTGGTCTTCGTGGAGGTCGAGCTGGTCCCTCACCTCCAGAGCTCCCCTAAAGACTCAATCAGGAAAGGTCAGGTGGAGAAAGGACCTGTGGGGTCTTCTCAACCCCCTCACTTTATACAAGGTCCAGACAGGGGCAAGACTTTTGTTTCTTTTCTGCTTTCTGTTCCTCTTTTCTTTCTCTCATGTTATTACCACACTACCCCCTGAATTCCATCTTCCATCATTTTCCTTCCTGTCCCCCAAGTCTTCAGTCCTAAGTCTGCCTTATTTGTCCCCATTTCTGCAGGTCTCCTGGGTCTGCCCTCTCACTGTTCCATTTCCATCACCGCCTCTGTTACTTCCTCATCTCTTGGGTCTTTGGTTACAAACATCACAAACCACTGCTGGCTGAGGTAGAAACAAGAATGGGATTCTGGGAAGCTCACAAAATCAAGGGAAAATTGAACTTTCTGGACTCCAGGATGAGCAGAACCAGGATACGCCTCGGGGTCCCAGTCAAAAGTCACAGCCAGTCTGCCTCTCTAGGGAGAATGATCGGATTGGGCGACCTTGGCTGAGGAACAGAACGCTTAATTCACAGGCCCATCTGGACCATGATGAAAAGGGCAGGGGTATATTTCCAGAAGAAACCAGGGTCCTGGTACCGAAAGAGAGGGGATGCAGAGCAGCTGAGACAACAGCTGTCAGCCACTAACCCTCATCTCATGTCTAACTTTCTCCTTTCCTTCTCTTTTTTTTCCACCATCCTGGCTGAGAAAGATCAGGAAAGTGTTAGTGCAAGAAGTGTCATTGAACTCAAACTGTGAAAGACAGATGAGATTTCAGTAGATGAGAAGAACATGGGGAAGGTCATTCAAGGTGTTAGGGCCAGGATGACAAAGGCATAGAGGTGAGCATGTCCCGCTTGCGGGCAGCTCAGAGAGCATGCCGGATGAGTTCTGGGAGGCAAGAATAGAAGGTGAACGTGGACCTCAAACTGTTCCATTAAGGCTTCAACACTGTTGTTCACCCCCGTGCTCCACTTTCCTTGTAATTCATGCCCAGATCCTCCTTTCTCCGTCAGAGATCCCAGATGCAGGGCACCAGCAGGAACTCTGCTCTTTCTGGAGCTACGCTTTCTCTCGGCGCGTTGCCTGGCACATAGATGTGGCTGTCTATGATACAATTGTGGCATTACCTCTTCATTGGCACCCTCAACTCTCTACTCACCCCCTTGGCCAAGGGAGACAGGGCACTAGGTATGTGGCAGGGCTGGGAGGCATCCCATCTGTGCATCCCAGCTGGGGACTTGGAACCTCGACGGGGGCAGGGTGCTAAGCCCAGTAGGGCTCTGTGCTCCAGAGAAAGGTCTGAGCAGGGATGTGGGGAGGATGGTCAGGCAGGGCAGTGTGCGTGGATCCCCTCCTGTAAGGCAGTCCTGGAAATTTCTTATCTCTCAACCCTTCTCTGCCCTCTGCAGTCAGTATCTACACAAATGCCTTTGCCATCACTCAGTTCTTTGGAGTGCTCTGTGCCCCCTGGAATGGCCTGCTCATGGACCAGCTTAAACAGAGGTACCAGAAGAAAGGGAGCAAGACAGGTGAGACCTGGTCTCTGGAGCATCAGGGAACCAGGAGAGGAGAGATCTTCATTACCTTTCTGCCCATCTTCTCTTTTGTTCATTAATCTTTTTCTACTTGCATCCATCCATCTATCCCTCCATTCCTCCATCCATCTATCCATCTGTCTGTCTAACCACTAGTCGCTGAGTGACAATGATGGGCCAGACGTAGATCCAGATTCAACAGCGGACAAGACAGATATGTCCTTGTTCTCAGTGTAGAGAGTGGAGAAAGACAAGTAACTAGGCATTACAAACCATGAAGTAAACCCACAGTGGGCTATGGGGACACAATAAGGGCACACAACCTGTTCTAGATAAGGATGAGATTGTTGTATGGGAAGGCTTCCTGGAGAAAGTGTCATCTAAGCTGAAACCTGAAGGATGAGTTAGAAGTAAGGAGATGAAGATGACAGCCCTGGGAGAGTGGCCCAAGAATACGGTGGGCTGAAGGTGGGGTCAAGGTTGTGAAGGAGAGAGGGAAACCTTGAGGAATCCGAGGAATCCCTTCAAGTGATTCAAGGACTGGCCAGTGGTGTAGTGGTGAAGTTAAGCACACTCTGCTTCAGCGGCCCAGGTTCATTGGTTTGGATCCCAGGTGCAGACCTACACCACTCATCAGCCATGCTGCGGTGGCAACCCACATACAAAATAATGGAAGATTGGCACAGATTCACAGATGTTAGCTCAGGGCGAATCTTCCTCAGCAAAAATTAAAAAAAGTGTAATTGAGGCTTGCCAGGGTACAAAGGAGTATGGAAGGGTCTGGAGAGAGAGCCGTGAGAAGGGGCAGGCTGTGCCCCATGCCGAGGAGCTTAGACAAGCTCCTTGGACATCAGTCGAGGAACAGAGGGGTGCTGAGGTATTTTAACCTGCAGGGCTTGGGGATGCGGAGGGACAAAAGTAGAGAGTAACATTTCTCCTATGACTTTCATCTACACCCCTCCCTGACTCCCCTGCCCTGCTTCTCCTACCCTGCTGGAGTATTCTACAGCAAATCTCAGTCATCAAACCATTTCATCTGTAAATACTTCAGGTTGTAGCTCTAACAGATAAGTCCTCTTTTACTTAAATATCACCATAGTATCATTATCACATCTACAAAAAACCCTCAATGATTTCTTAATATCGTCTACTATGCAGTCTGCTCAAATTTCCCTAATTGTCTCAAATATGTCTTTTTACAGTTCATTTGTTCAAATTCAGAGCCACACAGGGTATTTGGTTGATGTGCCTTTTAAGTCTTTTTAAACGTAGAAGCATCGTCTCCCACATGCTTTTTGTCCTTGTTTATTTGTTGAAGAAATGGGGTGGTTTGTTCTGTCACATTTCCCACATTTTGGATTTAGCATCCTTTTGGTGTCATTTAAAATGTTTCTTTGGGTATTTCCTGTAAACACACAGGTTGGAAGTTCAAGGAGACTCAGTTTAATATTTTTGGCAAGAATAATTCAGAGGTGGAGCTGTGGGCTTCCTGTGGGCTCCTGTCAGCAGGCCCCTGGTACCTATTGTCCTGTTCTTATCATGTTAAGGTTGATCAATGGGCTCAGACATTGTCAGTCTCATCCACTTATTATAAAGTTCCCCATCGACTGTGTGCCTGATGATTGTAGCAGCCATTGATGATCAATGCCTCGACCCATTATTTTATTATGGCTGCAAAGTGGTGATTTCCTGTTTCCATCTTTCCCTCTGCTTTCAACAGTGAGAATTCCTTTAGAAAGAAAAACTTCCCCTTATTAACTATTTTGTTACCCTGGCATAAATGCTTGGTTTTTCTTCTTTTTACCAGTTTTGAGAATAATGAAGTGATGCCCTAGCAACCTTCAGGGGTGACTACTCATTGTTTCCCTTTCAAAGTCTCATTTTAAATGTACTTGATGTGTTTCAATCCATTTTCACCACGATTCCTTTTGATGTTCAAACTGCCACATCTTTGGCCATTGGGAACTTTACCAATCCAGTATCTGTGTCCTTTAGACATAATCCCATTCGTTTTAGAGAGTGTCTTTACTTTCTAGCACAATGGGATATTCACGTCCATCTCATGGGGTATGTTTCCGATCCCAGACCTGAAACCAGCCATTTCGCCAAGCAACGCTGGGTCCCTTTGATGGGACATGGTATTTAAAGACTGTAGTCTGGATGCTAGCATTTCTAATTCTCCTGGGTTGTCATTGCTTTTGGGCTTTGGATAGAGTTAAAGCACACATAATTTTTTGGAAGAAAAAATACATCATGAATGCCTAATAATGATACTTTAATTCAAATTTTACATTTCTATCTCTTTTTCTCTTCCTCTGGAACTGTTGGTTCTTAACAATACTATACAGACATACACTTGTATAGTATTTTAAAAATATATTTTATATATTATCACTGGTTTTAGCAATACCGATACTATTAATAACAAGACTGTTGCTGAATGCTGTGCCTCTCTCTCTCTCTGTCCTTCCGTCTTTTCATCCTTCCTTCCATTCTCCTCCTTAGCATATGTCCCACAAGACGATGTACAGTCAAATTACTGTTTTAAGAATCACCAACTTGACATAAAGTAATGTTCATTGGTTTTATTTTGTTCCTGATTTTGGAGGGTTGCTTTGCTTGTTCTCTTCCTATTATTTTAATTTAATTGAATTTTTAAACATTTGTATAGCAAATATTTACATTTTCCCAAAGCCAAAACCATGAAACAGTATACATTGAAAGAAGTTTAGTTTTCCTCTCTGTTCCCTGCACCCTGTTCATTCACTCTGTCTTTAGGCAATGATCTTTTTCTTAAAGACAGACTATATAGACATAATTTCGCTCGCAGATAAAGGCCGCATACTGCACGCCCTGTTCTGCGGTCTTCCTGCTGTGTGACTCTCTGTCCTGAGGATGCTCCCAAGCAGGGCCTTCTCCTCACTCCTCTCACGCTGCCTAGTCATCCGTGATGGGGCTGCAGTACAGCCAAGACAGCTGTCCCTCTGGATGGCTGTTTGGATCGCCCCTGTCTTTTGTTAGTATCTGTCATGCTATACAGACTGCCTGGCTGCAGGTTGCAGGGGCCAGAGCAGGTGGCCCTGTTAGGAGGCCATTGCAATCTGTGTAATCTGTGAGTGAGTGATGGTGGTTTAAAAGTAGGATGAGTTGGTGGGGATGGAGAAGAGTGGATACATTTGAATGATAATTAGGAGGTGGATCATCAACATTCATTGATGGACTGGAGATGGGGCATGTGGGAGAAAGAGGATTCGAGGATGACCCCCTGGGTTTCTGCCTGGAAAGTTAGATGGATGGTGGTTCCTCCCTATACCCAGATCTCTCTTGCCTCCTTCCTGCCCTCCATTGTGCCCGCTTGCAGGCAGCCTCTCCTCTTCCCTTTTGGACCAGGTTTCTCAGCCTCGGCGGTGGCCCTTTGCTCCACGGTTCCTTCTCTGGCGCTGACGTCTCTGCTGTGCCTGGGCTTCGCCCTCTGTGCCTCAGTCCCTGTCCTCCTCCACCAGTACGTCACCTACATCCTGCAAGTGATCAGCCGCTCCTTCCTCTATGGAGGCAATGCTGCCTTCCTGACCCTTGTGTAAGTGGGCTTGGGGTGCATTACATAATGGGGGACACACGGGGCAAAGGGAAGCGTGCTGGAGGTACAGAAATTGGGAGGTGAGGATGGGCCTGAGATGGTCAGGTGATAGAGACAGAGTCTGGGAGCAGGTGTAGGGGGTGGTGCCTGGAGGTGAGGCTGGCAGGAGGAGTAGAGCTTTCATGTACTTGAGTCTTCGTATCAGCTCTCCCTCTGCCTCTGTTATCTATCTGGTGAACGCTTATTCACCCTCCGAGGTTCACTTCTGTTCCAACACTCCCAGGGAAGAGTTGGAAATAAAGTGTCTTCCCTTATTTGGGCTCTGGGCACTCTATTCTTGCTGCCTTTGATGGTGCACACATCATCTGGCATATAGTGATGTGTTTTTGTGTTCACCTTTTTCTTGCAACTTCCCTGGGATGCAGCGTGTGTCTGGGTCCTTGCTGTTTTCCCACTGTCAAGCATAATAACTTCTCTGTGTTCTGTGGTTTGAAAGCCTGAACAAAGGCAACGGGGAGTGGGCTGTATGGGTGAGGGTGGGTGAAGGCAGGCCGAGGACAGGGGAGTTGTGAGCAAGTAGCTGACAAAGGCCCACCCAGATCAGGCCCTGCCTGGAGGGAGGGTCCCTGAGTCTCACTGGAACCCCATTTGTCTCTCTCTCAGTTTCCCTCCGGAACACTTTGGGAAGATCTTTGGGCTAGTGATGGCCTTGTCAGCCATTGTGTCTCTGCTCCAGTTCCCCATCTTCACCTTCATCAAGGGCCCCCTCCAGAATGACCCGTTCTACGTGAGTATTGTGGGCCTCAGACCACCAAGGACATCCAGATCGGGGTGACTCAATGGGCACCCAGCAGGGGGAGCCCCAAATCAGGCTGAAGTATTTCCTGCAGGAACATTGCTGCACACGGGTACATCCTTGGTCTTGCTTCTCAAACTGGGCTCAGTGGGAGCACCCTGCCTTGTGCTGTGGGTACCTGAAACCACAGGGTTATCATGGGGTGGCTGCCCAGGGGGCCCACGTGCTTCAGAGATTTGGGGAGAAAATATTTTTTTATGTGTGTGGAGACAAGTAATCATATTCTAGAGGAGAACGCAAAATCCTCACAATGATTCATGAAAACCTAAGACTTCAAAGATATTTCCTGCTTGCGATGAGCACAGGTGGACCTTGGCCTCGGCCCTAGGGATGCAACGTGCATTGGATTCCACAGCTGATCTGAGCGGCAGGAGTCTATGCTCTCGCCCCTGCATCCCCACACCACCAGGGATGCTCACCCGTCCAGCCCTGGGAGGTGGGCATGACTCTCCAGCTGTTTGCAGATAGGAGAAACTGAGGCTCAAAGATTTGGTTTGTGGGACTTCTATGTTCAGAAACCCACAGCAAAGGAGCAGAAGTCCTTTGACTTTCAATTAAGTGTTCTGACCACTGCACAGCCCTTTAGCCTCATTTTAAAAAGATCAGCAAAGTGTAGAACAGGAGTTCAAATCAGTCACTGGGAGAAAAAAAAAAACCCTGAACTGAAAGACTGAGGAGAATTACTTGGTTGTGATATCGGAGCACCCTAACTGAATATTCAGAAGATATGATGTAGCTCTCGTCCCTCCGTCAGCTTCCTGTGTGACCCTGAGCTGGTCACTGAATGCCACCTGGGCCTCTCTTCCTCCATGAAATGGGCACAATATCCCTCCCCACCTGGCTCCACAGGGCAGAATGAAAAGTAACGCAGAGTCCTTCCTCCAGGCCACCAGAGTGTCTGAGTGGAAAGTGGAAGATAAACTAGGCAGAATTCTGGTCCCCTCATTGGTCGTGGGCATTGCTCAGAGTTCCCGGACTTCACCTCACCACTTCCTGTCCCCCTCCAGGTGAACGTGATGCTGGCGCTCATCACTCTTCTGACATTCATCCACCCCTTCCTGGTGTACCGAGAGTGCCAGGGGAAAGAAGGCCCCCTTGCAATCGCTTATTTCGGAAGCCCTCCCTTTTAGGCTCTGCGGATGCTTTTGCTAATCTTCCCCTACCTTTGAGAACCCCGTATCCGGAAAGTCTTTGCTCACTCAGGCAATTTGTATTAAGAAGACATTACTTTGTCTTAAAAAAAAAGAAGACACATAACTGCTGGCTGAGACTTCTGACAGGCAAGAAAAGAATTTCAATGCCAAGCTGATAGATACCATACAGACCCAAAGCAAAAGCTTGGGGAAGTTCTCCTTAGTCCCAGAGCAGGACGCACATGGCCTTGGTAGAGCCTTGACCCAAAGGGACGTGATGTGATGGGAGAGGAGGTGTGTCACCTGCTTCTCTAGGCCTCTTTGGCCCTGAAGCCCGTGTGTGCCTGCGCCCTGTACCGCCAGGTAAATTTCCAGGTGGAGAGTGAGGTTGTCATGGCCTCAGCTATGCCCCCTGGCATTTGGAGGTGGTGTCCAGCTCTCCCTCAAAGGCACAGCCTTCGTCAGAGAGTGGCAGCAACCAAGGCTTGGTTAGAGAGCCTTGGGAGAAAGAAGAGAGAGGGGTGGGGTGGGACCGGGGGCCCTGGGCCTGAGATCCAGCTCTGCCACTGATGCTGGAGGCCCTTGAGCAGACCCTCCTCTGGGCTGAGCATCAGTTTCCCACCTGTAAAATGAGAGGATTCTGGAATTGGAGGTTCTTTCTGAAGCTAACATTCTAGAAGGTTTTAAGAGGAGTGGCAGAGAATCAGGCCACCCAGAGAGCCTTGGGTACCAGCTGGCCTGCTCGACTGAAGGATTTCTGACAAAACCTCTTAGGGATGTTTTCCTCAACAAGAAGGGAGATGATGATTGACTTTGGGAATTATATAAAAATGTTCTCGGGAGAAGAATTTTGTAGAACAGTAAAGTCTTTCTGCTTAAAGCAACTACTGTTTCACCACTTCAGGCTTTGGGGCTGTTGTGTGTGTGTATGTTCCTGCCCCATGCCCCAGCTTCCTGGGGAGTGGACACAGGAGTGGAGTCGAGGAATCTGGCAGCAGCATCCTGATGTGGCAGCTGGACCCAGTGTAGGGTAGGAGCCTTCAGACTTGTATCCAGCTACCTGGTTGTACGATGGGCTTGAGAAGCCCCTCCACCCCTGCACCCTCACCCCCTCCCAGGAGTCCCTTCTTTTATTTATTTATTTATTTAAAGATTTTATTTTTTCCTTTTTCTCCCCAAAGCCCCCCGGTACATAGTTGTGTATTCTTCGTTGTGGGTTCTTCTAGTTGTGGCATGTGGGACGCTGCCTCAGCGTGGTCTGACGAGCAGTGCCATGTCCGCGCCCAGGATTCTAACCAACGAAACACTGGGCCGCCTGTAGCGGAGCGCGCAAACTTAACCACTCGGCCACGGGGCCAGCCCCCCAGGAGTCCCTTCTTTTGCCTCCTCTGCCTCTGCACCCCATCCCACTCCCCACCACAATACTCCACACCTCCAGCTGGAAGCACTAGATGGAATCAGAAGGGCCCCTGGTTAGTCTCAGTCCTGCTACCCAGCAGCTGGGCAAGTCCCTTAACCACTCTGGATCACAACTTCCCCACATTCAAAAAGCAATGAATCATTTCTATCCTTGAGGGTGACAGTGTGTATTTAAGGTAATTGCTACTGCCTAGCCCATGGTGGTAGCACGTGCACACTTATTCCTTCATTTCCTCATGACCAGAAAGGAAAGGGGTAGCAAGGAGGGAGAAGGGGAGGGACCTGGAGGGAGAGAGATGGTAGGTGGGCGAGATGGGACAATCTGGAATACACCAGGCGTTTTCTTCCTCTTAGCCTGGAGAGGGGCCAGGAGAGAATAGTGAGGGGGGAGGGGGCTGGCAGGCAGATTCATTCATCCAATCAGTCTGTCAATCAACAAATGTTTATGGAGCCTCTACAAGGCATCAGGCACTGTCCTAGGTGCTGGGGTTACAGAGATACACAAGGGGCTGAAACACAGCTCTTTTGTGAAGAGCTGGAAGCGTAATTTCCAGGGGCCTGGGGACCTGGGTCTGAAGACAGACATCAGAGTGCTCGTGAACGGCTTTCATCTTGTCTTGCTCCAAAGCTTTCCAATGGCTTCCTGCTGTCCATGGGGCAAAGCTTAGACTGCAGCCTGGCATTCATGGCTCTCAGCAATGTGATTCCAACCACTCCCCTACCTTCCCCACCCTCTTCACCTCCCACCTCCAGGAGGACAGAATTCCTTCTTGGTGGACCAAGGTTCCTGGTCTGGGCGTCTGTGAGCACACCAATTCCTCTCCATGGTGACTCTTCCCGTCTCTGCCGGGGAAATCTGCCTGGTCTACTGGGGTCCTGTTCAAAACGCCATCTTCTCTAAAAATCTTTCCTTAGGCTCTCCAACAGCTCTGAGTTCTCGGCACTTGGTCACACCCTTCTTGGTGACTGGCACCTGCCTCCTTGCATGATGACCTCTCCTCACCTGGACAGCAAACTCCAGGAAGCGGCATGTGGGTCTTACCTGGCTCAGTGACTCATGCGTGCTTGCTGTCCATGTCGTGCCGGTTAGGGCTCGTTGAATGAAAGATCACTGAATGAGTGAATTCTTTCTTGTTCTGGCCTCAGTGCCAACTGGAAGGAGAGAGCAGAGCACATGGGGGTGGGATGGGGTAGTGGGAAGAACACGGACTGGGGGGCCAGGCCAACCCTTTTTTCATCCCGGCTCTGTCACTAGTGTGACCTTGGATGGGCCACTTCACCTCTACATCTCAGTTTCTTTATCAGTATAAAGGGAGAAATAGACCTGTCTCTGGATTGTTGCAAGGGTCAGAAATTAGGTCAAGTGCCTAGCACATGGTAAGTACTCAACAGATGATAGCTATGATTGCAGTTAACATATTAAGTCAAAAAGGATGCCTAATACCCATCAACTGGTGAATGGGTAAATCAAATGTAGTATATTTATACAATGGAATATTATTTGGCAATAAAAAGGAATGAGGTATTGACACATGCTACAATGTGGATGAACCTTGAAAACAGTATGCTGAGTGAAAGATGCCAGTCGCTACAGACTGCATACTGTGTGACTCCATTTATGTTAAATGTCCAGATGAGGAAAATCCTTAGAGGCAGAAAGGAGATTAGAGATTGCCTAGAGCTGTACGAGGTGGTGGTGAGTGCTAATGGGTAAGGGGTTCTTTTTATGGTGATGAAAATTTTCTAAAATTGATAGTTGATTTTACAACGCTGAATATACTAAATACCATTGAATTGTATATACTTTAAATGGGTGGCTTGTATGTGAATATATCTCCATAAAGCTGATACTAAAAAAAGATGTCTGGAAAATTGCCTTAATTTTAAAGGTATAGAATACATTTTCCTTGAGTTTTAGTTTGAGAAATAGAATGGGATATTTAAAAATCATTGTGGTACATTTAAATACATTGAATTTAAATCAGAATTACTGTTTTCTTAGAAAAGTATCATTGGATTAAAAAAGATCAAAAATTGTGTTAAAAACTTCAAAAAAGGAAAAAGATATCTGGATTCCTCAGGAAGTGCAGGAAACACTTGGATCCAGAGAGAGAGAAGCACAGCTGTGTGCACAGCCACTTCTTTCTTCCCCAAGAGCCCCTTGCTGCAACTTCTTCCTCAGATGGGACCAATTGCTCTTTTAAATGAGGAAGCAAGCAACAGGGGTTTCACAAGTTTTGGGTTCCTGGTGCAACCCTCCTCTCCAGCTCCAGCCTCAGCAGAGAGGAACTGGAGGCAAGTCTCCCCCCTCCACAGGCCGTGGTGCCGGGCGGGGCCTCTCCTGGGGCAGAGGACACTTCCATGAGGAGCAGAGTGCCTGCCATTTAAAGAACAGCTGGACAAATCAAATAAAATAAACAACAGCTGACAGCATGAATTAGGAACTCTGTGTGACAATCTCCTTTCACCCGCAGCATTTTGCAGATGAGGAGAATTAGCCTCTGAGCGGCAAGTTATGTCCAAGATCATCTGTCTGACGCATTGTGGAGCTGGCGTTTAGACCCAGATTTGTCTTTCTCCTAAGGTCGTGTTCATTTTAGGTGTTACCGTCTGTTTACATTCATTGTTACGTCAGAAACATGTGGTGGTTGTAAAAGAAGTCAGAAAACAAAGAAGTGCATGAAAAACAAATATCATTGTTAACTGCGCTGCTCAGAAATGACCATGGCTAACATAGTGGTATGTTCACTCTCGTCGTGTGACTATTTGTATGATAAGGGAAACGATCTCATAAACTTTTCTTTGTCATCAAATAGTTGTCCAAAACGTGATTGTAAGTGGCTGCTTACAAGCCCATCTTAAGGCGATGTCACATTTTATTTATCTCCCACCCACCCTGTCCTGGGGGCTCCCCTCACTCACATCTTGGGACATTGGGCCCACCCGTTCTGTTCCCCTCTGCTGCCTGAGCTGACGTGGGGGGTGCCTCCTGATGGTGAATCATGAGAGCAGCCTAGGTCAGCACACTGGAGAGTGTGCCTAATAGTTGAACTCAGGGGGCCAGATGTTGCCAGAGAGCCACCTTTGGAGCTTCTAGAGATGACGTCCATCCATTCATCATCATGTGTGAATCTGGTGCTAGCTGTTGTTCAGCCAAAGGTGTTGGCTGTCCGCTTCCCAGGTGCTGTCGACCCTCTTCCCTAAATTTAAAGTTTGGGGCAAAGACCCCAGTTTGTTTGTTTTGTTTTTTTGTTTTTCTGTTTTTTTTTGGAGGAAGATTAGCCCTCAGCTAACTACTGCCAGTCCTCCTCTTTTTGCTGAGGAAGCCTGGCTCTGAGCTAACATCCGTGCCCATCTTCCTCTAGTTTATACGTGGGACGCCTACCACAGCATGGCTGCCAAGCAGTGCCATGTCCGCACCCGGGATCCGAACCAGCGAACCCCGGGCCGGCGAGAAGCGGAACGTGCGAACTTAACCGCTGCGCCACCGGGCCGGCCCCCAAAGACCCCAGTGGTTACTCCTGGAGCTCCTCTTCCTGCCAGACCCGCAGGGGATAGATGATCCCCAAATGTGTTGG